AAGGAATTCGTATAGGCAGTCTGGAGGTAAGAATCTCTCAGTATGCGGATGACCTTATAGTCTGCTCAAGTCCGGATTCGAACTCATTAGAAGGTGCGTTGCATGAGCTAAATGAGTTCACGAGAGTGAGCGGTTTGAAAATAAACGTGCAAAAAACGAAATGCCTACCAGTTGGTGAGGTTGACTCAAGTGCTATAGTTAATCTCGGACTGAGCACCGTGAGCCAACTTAAGGTGCTTGGTATACTGTTCAGCAATTCAAATCAAAATATTTCATCAATTAATGTGGAAACGATTCTACCAAAGATAAGTAAAGAAATAGCCCAATGGAACAGAAGAAACCTAACATTAATTGGGAAAATAACTGTTGTAAAGTCATTGTTGGTTGCAAAACTTGTGCATGTGCTAACAGCCTTACCTAACCCCAGCGACGAGGTTCTAAGAAAAATTAACAGTATCCTTTTTCGCTTTGTTTGGAATAATGGACCAGATAAAATCAAAAGGTCGTGGCTTGTGCAAAATTACGAGTGCGGGGGACTAAAGATGATCGACGTTAGATCATTTTTGTCCAGCCTGAAGTCAACCTGGGTAAAAAGGCTCTACTGTGCCGACAGTCAGGTGACATGGGCAAACATTGCTAAACTAAAACTACCCCCAATAGAAAATCTCATATGCTTCGGATCAACAAAGCTAAAAGAACTAGAAAAAAGGACTAGGAACAACTTTTGGAAAGACGTAGTAAGAGAATGGGCAAATTTTTCTGCCGCCTACGTACCAGATGGAGACGAAATTCTTTCCGATAAGATATGGTTTTCGGACAACACTAAGTACAAAAAGACCTTTGTGAGAGATTGGGACAGAAAAGGGCTGCGGTTCATAGCGGACTTGTTTTGCAAAGAGACAGGCTTACTACACAGAAGGGAACAAATCAACTCCATGTATAATATACAAATGACGTTCTTATGCTACTCTTCTCTTATGAGGAGCATACCAGCTGACGTTAAAAACGTAAAACAACGGATAGAGGCACCAGTTCTACCTTTCAAAATTGCGTTACTTTCCGAAAAGTCAAAAATATCGAAAATACTTTACAAAAGCCTTGTCACGGCACTCTACACGAAACAAAGAGAGAGACCATCTAAAGTAGAACAAAAGTGGGTGAGAGATGTGGGAGACATGCACTTTGGCACAATGAGACATACGCCTCTCAACCAAAAATAGTTATTTGCAAAGCTTTCATTTCCGAACAGTGCACCGAATAGTAGCCACGAATACATTTTTATATCGTATCGGAAAAGCGGACAGTCCATTATGCACTTTTTGTGAAATGGAAGATGAAACTCTTTACATGTGTTGTGGAGCTGCGATGTGGTGCAGCGCTTTATTAAAGAGGTTGAAGCACACTTAACATCCACATTTAGCATTGTTTGAATGTAAAAAAAGAAACATGGTTCTTCCCTCGTCTCCCGAGCGAAGATAGGTTGAAAATATTGATAATAACATTAGCTAAACGTATGATATTGCGCTCAAAGTATATAAACGTCCCCCCTAGCATGTCACTATTTTTGTCACTACTGAGAGCTGAAGCATCAGTAGAGAAGAACGCTGCCGTCAGGCGGCAGACTTTAGATAAACACGAGACCAAGTGGGGCAGATTAGCTGGCATTCTTGAAGAATAAATCAGAATTTAGCAGCAAAATTTAGCGGATTTCCTGCAACATTTTCCCGAATTCAAAACTTGCATACACCTATCACCCCCTCCCCTCCTCTTCCTACCCCCCCCCCCCGACCTCCACCCCTTGCCCATATTATCACTTCACCCACTGATTCGGCCCCACATTATGTGTTCGTAACCGTCCCTTGGACGCTGCCGAGCCCGTGTGGCCGTCGCCGCCGCAAGCTAGCCCGCTGGGCCTGTGTCGCCGCTGCCCTCGCTGGGATGATGTCGCCGCTGCCCTCGCTGGGGCTATGCTGCCGCCGCCCTCGCTGGTGGCGTGTCGCCGCCGCCCTCGCTGGGCCCGCGCTGCCGCCCACCTGTCGGTAACCTCTATCCTTGCGCAATCTGATTTGTGTCAGCTAAGGCTTAGATGTACGCTTGTAGGCTTAGATGTACTCTTTTGGGCTTAGGTGTACGCTGGTAGACTTAGGTACAGCCCTCAGCAGACTGCGTGGTAGGTATTCTTTTTTCGACAAAACCGGCGATAACTCAAAGGCTATGTTATCAGTCGGTCGGAACTCACTGCAAATAGATGCGCTATGCTCCACTTCTTCGATTAGGTCCATCACTAGACAAAGTATACGCCTTGTGTGGCAACAAAATGCAAAAGTCTGTTTTGGGGGCAAATATAAACTTTTGGATTTTGTTGCCAAACTGGATAGAAAATGAACACGATGATAATGCCAATCTAAGGTGCGAAGTCTCGCGCGTCATACTGTTACGATTTCCGAGTGACCGATGGCATAGTATTCGCGTTATTCTCGGTTTTGTCGAAAAAAGAATACCTACCACGCAGTTTGCAGAGGGCTGTACATGCGCCTGTAGGAGGGAGCAGAGCTGAATGCCGCTGAGGGCGGTTTAGCCCACGACTGCTCTCTGTGTCAGCAGGCATGGTATTTATAAGGACACAGTCACCGGTTGCGGACAAGGGGCAGTGCCGGTAGACTATCGTACGAAAATGTTATCATTCCATCTTCCATAAGTTTGTTGCTGGCAGTCTCGCGAGTCACGTGCGGGAATCTCGCGCGTGTGACGTCGTCACATACTGCGCCGCGTCAGTCCAGCGGGCGGTCCGTAAGAGGCGCCTGACGTCCGTGATGTGCGCACAAAGTGCCTGCGTCGCCCGGTGATGTGACGTCTGTTGATGATATCGAACGAAGATGGACTGGTCTCACCGTGTGTACTGATGGAACAGACGTGGTTCTGTGCGGTCGCGGAACTGATGGTGGGAATGATGTTGATCGTGTGGTGTGGCGATTATGATGGTCGTGATGGTCATGATAATAAAATTTAAAAAAAAAGTCGATACAGATAGAGCCTGATCTACTTTGTTCATCCCAACGGGCGACACTGTTGAAAACAAACGTAGTTCAACAGCTTCGTCGAAAGACACGGAAACAAGCCCATTCAATCTCACAGACCCCGGGCCAGGCCGGCCAGTGTCATCCCTCCGGGACAGGGACAGAACTGAAGGCTGAAATCTGAAGCCAGTACTGGACTGGAGCTGGTGTAGGGTTTGGGATAGAGCTAGAGCTACGGCCAGCCCCAAGGCTGAGGTTGGGGCTGAGCTGAATGAAGCTAAGAACTGACGCGGGTGCTTGCTTGGTCTGTCTGGTAGAACAAGTGTGGGATATGATCTGAAAACTGTACGACAAAGATGGCCTACCGCCACCACCCTCTCGTCCCCATCGCTCCTTTCTCCGATCGACGGCCATCCGGAGCAGCTGATTAGCGGTCTATCGATCAAACAGAGTGGTGACCTTTGCCCACATACAGAGCGGTCGGCGCTAATGTCCCGGGCCGGGTCCGATGGGGAGGGAACAATCGAGGGGGGGGGGGACGTTGGGCGAGGCGGACATTACTTTGATAGTCAACTCAGAGCAGGTAGGGAAGTGGGAGGGAAAGAAGTTTCGAGGAGCCACGAAATATTCAACTGGGTGAGCTTGAGAAAGGTAGAAAACGCAATGTAGCCGAACCAGGGAAGAAAGGTAAGGAAGCAATGAGGAAGGCAACATTCTAAATTACTCTTGTCCCTATATTATTTCTCTTTTCCCTCTTTTCCTCCCTCCCTCTCTCCTCTCTGCACCTCTCTGGCGCTGATAACGCTGCAGCGCCATAGAGCTCTCCGTCTACTCAACAGACACCAATCACCAAATCACCGACGTCAGCTCTGGTGCGCGGGCCGCGGCGCCGCCGTCCGATGTTATCAGCTACCGGACGGTGGAGCACTGACGTGGCAGAGAGGCGCCGGGGGTGCGAGAGGGGAGGGGGAAGAGAGGGAGGGAGGGGGGGGGGAGAGAGAGAGAGAGAGAGAGAGAGAGAGAGAGAGAGAGGGAGAGAGAGAGAGAGGAGGCAAAGAGAGAGCGAGAGAGGGGGACAGGCGACATAAACATTGAAACACTAATGATTCAAAAAGTAAAAACTTCACAGAGCACCAAGAGGTTACACAAAAACCTCTTCCTTCAATGCCTGGTCACCGCATATTCTGTTTGCCCGTCTTTCACTTACTGCGCGGCAAACAACTCCTGGCGGCAGTCAGAATATGATATCCTGTCTCACCCGTGAAAAAAAAACAGTTTGCAGCTGTCGGACTCATTTCAAACCAGCTAGCCTAGAGGCCATTGCGTCAGCGCTTTCAGAACTATTGTATGCTGCGCCGTCTCATATGGCGGAGAATCAACAATAACATGCTTCAACGGCCGACCGGAGGAAATGTATTCGCGCGTGGGGCAAATTGAATCTATTCGGGCCGGCGCCACGGCTGGAAATGAATAGCGAGATCCTCCTTTATGATCCGACGACTGATATTAGCGTTGTACCATTGATGTAGCCAGCTCACAGAAACGACCGTAGGTACTGAAATAAGCACTGGGACGGATGTGGGATATCAGGCTTCGAACGTACAATTACCGGAGCCGTTGAGCCTTTTTGCGTTTGACTCTGGGTTGTTTTTAGCAGTTTCAAGCGCGGGGAAACTGAGTAGCCTCGAAAACACGCAACTTCTAAATGCGTCTCTCATTTGCGCTTGTATCACAGATGAAAGAATGGGAAATTTCACCTGATATCCTGCAGAGATAACAGGATGTGGAATTTGACGTAATATCCTGTACCGTGTCTCATATACCATCAATATCTCCTTTATATCGTATTGTCCACATCCCACACTAATATGAAAAGCTGATAAAAAGCTCCCGCCAGTATAAACTACAAGCACACATTTCCAACCCCGGCTTCGATGTTCTTTTGGTAAAAGTCATTTTCAGTATACCCGTCTGCCCACTTACTGTGATCGTCGGCGTTGCAGAGGACGTGCTCCTTGACGTGCTTGTCCTGGCCGGGGTGGTCGGCGTGCCGCAGCCAGACCGAGATGGTGAACGTGTTGCCCAGCTGGGGCTCCATCACCGACGGCGGCACCACCACCGCCGTGCTCGTGCCGTCAAACTGGGGACGCGGGGAGTGGGGAGTCGTCAAACTGGGAGACACAGTGGGCAGGGGCGCGGGACATCAAATGCAATCCACGGATCAACGTATTGGGGATAATCATTGAGTGTAAGAAAGGGCGGGTCGCATTGGTGAAATAGTTAGACAATAGTTAGAAATAGTTAGACAGAAAGGGTCATCAAACCTGGATAGTGGATACACGGTACAACACACATCTCAAGCGATTTAACTGGAGGACGAGAAATGTCGTCAATCGTCATCGATGAGTTCAAACTGGATGAAAAAACAAATTCTGTTTTCCAGTGATAGCATGCAACTACTTTATAATCGAATCAACTCATTCTCCTTTCATCCCACTCTCTCCTTCCCTCCCGCTCACCTGGAACACCTCGTCGGACTCGTGGCCGTGATCCCGGGGCAGCGGCCGCGTCCACTGGCTCTCCGCTGTCGGCGACGGCAGCAGGTCCACCGCGCGGGCGTCGGCGCCGCACAGTCGGCGCTGGTTCTCCACAGAGAACGTGTCCCGGTCGCAGCCCTTGCCGATGTGAGACGTCTGCAGCGAGATCTTGCTCTGGACGCGGTCGACGGCGCAGGGGACCTCGCACATGTCCAGCGTGGCGTCCGGGAACAGCGCCACGGCGCCAGAGTTGGGCGCGTACTCCACGTGTTCGGGCAGATCTGCCGGGGGGGGGGGGGAGCGACCGTCAGTCGACGTAGGGTCCTACACACATGATGTGGAACACTGCAATGACTTGTAATTCATTCAATCTTGAAGCGAATGCCACATAAGCCGGCAATAAGCCGTGCCGTGCCGGCTTCAGCTTTGCGGATTCGGCACAGAATAGGCTGTACCGCAATACAGAAGCGTATGCGGCACAGCATAACTGGCAGGCGCCCTCACTGCTGCCATCTAGCGTCAGATGTATAAGTTACTCGAATCACTTGGTTTCTTCTCGCATCGATATCGCTCGGATTTCGCAAGAAACAGGTTATTGAAGAAAACTGCCCAGATAGAAATCATAACTGGGAAAAACAGACTTAATTGCATAATGCTGATATAGGTAATGCATGTTTTTATGCCCGAGGAATCCGATTATAACGAGTAACCGTCATCAAATGACCGTCATTTTTGGGCATTAGATCAGAAAATCGGGGTTAAATCGTGTCATCAATCCATCATATGTCTTTAGCGCAGTATCCAACCAAATGAGCTATATCTGTCGCCCGGGAGACCAGCCAAGCGCCTGCCGGCCCAGCCAGCCAAGTAGAGAGCTCTCCACTCCCCAGCTTGATACTGAATAGCTCCTTTACATGATATGCGCCGGTACTCTGGGGAGCACCGTATAGGTCCTACCGGACCCGGGAAAAGATCACCTCTTCTCCTTTTCCTCATCTCCTCTATTTTTCAGCTCACCCTCCCGTCCTTCGACGGAAATGTATCGTTCGATGTTGACCGACAAAGGCGGATGGGAGAAAGCGATGCAGGGGAGGGGGGGGGGGGGTGTCGAGATAGGGTGCCGGAGGGATGTATTGCTGACGGAGGATGATGGAAGAGGAGGATCAGTATCGCCATAAACGGACCAGTAACAGTGGCTGAACAAGACCGAAAGGAAGGCTTATGAAACAAAGAAATTAAAATCGCGATTGACGTTTTTTTCCAACACGGTTACTGTTGCCCGGTAAATACATGTTTCTTTTGATGTCTGATTTTACACTCTCCCCCGAGATGGAGCAACCACTACGCTCTGAGCCGCCACCTGAGCGGTGCCATTCTGGGCGGATGGGAGCGGCGGGGCTGACACGGGACGGACATTAGGGCTGGGCGCTGGGCCGGCGGCGGTCCCAGCTCCGGCATCGACCCGCGAAGCCGCACCCGGACGGCTGATTCGGACCGGCACCTGCTAACAGCCGGATTCAGTGGGTCCCCGAGCGGCCGCGCCGCCGCTCACTGCCGGCTTCATGGCCGCCGTAATCATGTGTTCGTCCTCGGACCCGGTGAAGAGGCTGCCTCGGCGACGGGTGCGCCGGAAATGAAGGCGGTTTTGAGACGCTCCAGACCAGATGCAGCCACAGGAAAACGAGAAAACGTGAGGAGAATAGAGGCGGATGGACTGTATCGAGCTTGTGGGTCATGTCGGAAATAAAATCCGCCTTATAATTCCGTCCAGTACTCAGTAAATTTGCGGAATATTTCGAACTCATCCCAGCAATATTTACTCATACCGACTTGATTGGTCGTCGATGCCTATGCAATGCATGCATGCGGGCAATATGACAATCGGTACATGATAATTAATTTCACAAACTTCTATGTTCTTGAGTCATGTTTAAAACATGCCAGCATCCGCATGAACGGAATGGATAACTGCATAGAAGACGGCCTTAGCCTGAGGCTAATAGATACGGAATGTTACGGCAACAATATTTAGAACACCTACTTAAAGATTGAACATTTGGAACATCAATTCAACTTATCTGAAGCTAGGCCTTATTCCAAACTGATTTCATTACAGCATGGCCCGCTGTACCATAAAGATCTTACGCTGTACCCGTTCCCCTTGTCGCGCATTTGAATGCAACTGGCGAGCTGGCGGGTCTTCATGTATACAAATGCCTTCCATACGGCACGCCAACAAACTGATGCTTATGAATGGCTTCATTCGTGGCGCAATGTTTCTATTACACCGCCGCTATATATCTCGGCGGCATTTCGAAGCCAATGAGCAGAACGATGGCGGTGGCACTAGACATTTCCGGGTGGAATATTCCCACTGGGTGAACGAGACGCGGCCATCAGTGCTGTAGGGCCAGCAGACCGTATGTGGTGACCCAGGCCTCCCAAGGCTTCAGAGACCTCCAGAAATTCCGTGACCCTTTACTGAAAGACGTAGATTGTGGTCGTGTACGGGTTGCAGCGGGGGTGTGTGACAGGCTTTGGACGGGGGGATTGAACAAATACGTGACGCATTAATGGTAATGTCGCATGACTGGATAATAAATCCTGTTGTCGAGATCGGTCTTGATAGCTGGGTCACATTTTACGCTCTAACGAAAGCTCTCGATCGGCCGTGCACAACAAACTGCAAAACTTGCGATCCTCGATCAACATATGATAAATATCGTATGCGTTCAGCGAGGATAAATTCACAACTTCTCCTTATATACGTACGCCAACTTTTCTAGTCGCCGCTTCCAAGTTCTGTCATTTCTCATATCCGTCCGACACCCGATCAGTTCTCGGACGAGACACCTCGATCAGGGTTTGACACGGACACTGACACCGACACGTGACACGCTGATGACACGCGGCCCTCGGTGATCGCCGACACGCTGTCCGGACACGAACGATCGACCAGGGAGCCGTGTCAGCCTCAGCCGCGCTGCCGCGGCGAGTTACAGGCGGTCCACATCACCGACAGACAATGCTGGCCGGAGGAGCGGGCTCGCCCGGCAGAGGGGGACGGACTTGTATACCGCAGGGTGATAGGACGGTGAGCTTAAGAGGATTGAGCAGATGGTTCGGGACGCGTTCAAATGATTTCCAAAGAATTTCCAAAGAATTAAAATATTTTCACACAATGTTGTCGGTACACTTAAATAAAGTGCCAGTAAAATAATGGATACCTATTTTCTGGCAGTACCGTAAGCTGAAGTAAGCAAGAGTAAGTTGTCTCACCTTTCCACCCGAGGTGGCAGACGCGGTTGACCTTGATGGTGACGGTGACCTTGTCCGACATCTTCATTCCGCAGTCGTAGGCCACGATGAACAGAATGTGGTTATGAGACTTCTCATAAGAGAGCGGCTCGGTGTTCCGAATGGTGCCTGTAAACAATGTCAGAACACAGTGTTAAAACACAGCACACTAAGCTCATAATGGGCTCACTCATTTGCAAACTAGCAGCTTAATCTAATTCCCAGCGTCATTCCTTGGCAGCCCACTCGACCGTCCTAATCTGGCACTTCATTCCTCACCAGCTAGTGTGTCACATAAAATACCAGCTCAACGGAACAAAGTGGCGTCTAAGTGAATTTAAGATAAAATGAACCCAGCGCCAGTTAATTATGTCATGCTAATGAGTCAAGATGACCAGATAAAACGGCCTACGCATGATCCGTTCATTAGCATATCGGCAAGACTGATAGCAGTCTGTGCTAAACTTAAAGTCCCGATACGGCAAGCAGTGACCATTAAAACTCTGCGCTAAAGTGAGAGCTTAAAGGGACTATCCCACCTTCTAAAATGTTGTTAAAACCAGTTAAATTGTGCCTGACTTTATAGATTGGATGACCAGGAACACGGTTCTGGCGTTTATTTTTCATTAAACATCTTAGGCTTCCCATATTCAAAACACAAACTTTCAAATATGTGACGTCACAGCCCAAAATTACCTCCTTCCCCAGGCCACATTACTATCATAAAGCTTTTTACTCTGTAGGCACCACAACAAAGTTCAGACCAAGTTTTAAGCGATTTTTCAACGAACAAACCCATTTAAATCAGAATGACTAAACGAGGTGACGTCACACTAACGGTCGCTCCATGTTGAAGATAGGGCCTTGTACAAGGCCCATTTTCAAATGAAGGGAACGAATTTCTTCAACACCAAGAGGCCGCGGGGGTTGCAACCTAGATAGATAGTGGTTTCTGAACCTCGCCGCAAACTTGGCTATCTCAACTCAAACCCCATGTTAAAGGTGGGATAGTCCCTTTAACGCACAGCCCACTTCCCAGTCATCCAACGGAAACAATCCTTTTTCGTAAGTTCGTTGGTCTATCGGTGTCCATCCCAAACCAAGCGCTTTCGTCAATTTCATCAAAATTTCCATAACGCACACCACCTTTTCAGACCCCCGTAGAGGCTTCCAAAGACCTTCCCTGCCACCTTAAAACGCCATCAGGCTAGCAAAGGCCACATCTCATAGTCCATCATCATCCGCATTCGTCGTTTATCATCTACACCGTTTCCGTAACCCCCAAGACAACAGCACAGCCCAGGGACGCCCCGTCGACCCGACTCAACAGGCTGTCTGTCGTCGGAAGCGTCGTCCGACATATTGAGGTACCTCCGACGGCAGCCTGTGTTTGACGACCGTCCAAATGGCCGCGTCAGTGACAGACACATACAAACAGCAGTCGACAGAGACGCGACGTGAAGGCCGTGGCTAGGTCATCGGGCGCAGAGACAGATTTAAAACTTGTAAAATATGGGCATCTGCTGGTCACTGGCCTGAGGTCTTATTTCGGAAATAATAGCGTAAAATCACACATTCGCTTGAATATAAGCGATGTTGCAAGGTACCGAAACAGCACTTACAGCAAGGCAACTCATCCCAAAATAGACTGACGAAAACACAACCATATCCATCCATATAGCAGGTGAAATTCAATTCTCCCACAGACTGCTATTTCCAGCTGAACTAAACGTCCCAGGCAGCTCCACTTAGATTCGGATCCCGTTAATTATGCAGAACGCGATAAGGCAGACGCACCATCGCTTTGAAGCTGTGAAGCTCGCAACTGTCAATGCCCTAGTGTTTTGCTCCTTTATATGTGTGCCCATTTCCAACTAAGATTTCCAGATGTCAAATTTAGACCCAGTAGGCACTTGACTTGCATAGTCATTAAAATATTTTGTGCAGAAAACACCCCTCGATAGTAATGTCGTCTACAAAAAAAATAATAAGCCGGGCTCGAACCACCATCCTGCAGCATATAGGTACTGTGTCTCCAGCACAAGTTGCTCTCAAGTCGCTCGCAAAACAGACTCACTCGAAGAGTTGAGAAGTTTGACGCTCACCTCGTAAGGCACACACGCGTCAGCCGTGACTCGCCAAGGACATCTTTGATTGGATCGGGCTTAATCTCACGCCTGGAAATTGCACGCTGAACTAATTTCAGATCGGAGAATGACTTTAGGACAGAAACCAATTAGCCGGTTGGTGTCTTTAGGAGGCGATCGCCAGATAAGATATCGGGGTGAGCCCAATTCGATTCCAACGAAATGACATCATCACTAATGTACATTGGCTCGCTTTTAAAAACATTCCTTGTCCTCTAAATATTATTTTCGATTGCCTGTTTAAACTTTGCAAGATAAAAACTGAAATCCTTTACTTTCAACATAAATTAATACATATCAAATCATCGAATAAAACAAATATGAAGATCCCAAAAAGCCCATGAATATGAGAAGTCTTAGGTGGCTAGCCCTTTCAGTGGGTAAAGCCTGGCGCACTACATGCCATACGGACCACGCTTCATCACTGTCGTCAATGTCATCGCTTCAGGGCATAATATCAATCCGCCTGCCATCAATCCGTCGCCATAAACCCTACGACTGTCGTCGAGCCCTCCCTGCCATCACGGAGCGGACTCTGGGCCGTCGCCGTGGCGCTCGTAGCCCGGTTACGCGTGCTCGGCTCCTCTCCGATTCAATATCGTCAGCTAGCTAATCGCTGCCGGCCGACCAAATCGGTCACTCAACCAAATTGACGCCTGCGACACCGGCCATCCGTCGAAGCGTTCCGCGGACATTGGCCACGTTAGCACGTCATACGAGCCGGCCAGATCGGCCGAGGTAACGAGCCGGCCGGCATCTGTCTCCATCCGGCCCAGCGGCCAAATTCAGCCACTCGCCTTTACGAGCGGCCCGCTAGCGGCTCGGGGCAGCCGTGCCGAAATTTCCGCCTCGTTCGGCCGTATCGATTTGGCCGGCTCGTTTCGATAATGGCAGACGCGATGGTGGCCCGATTTGAGAGATGGTGGGGGATGGGTAACGCTCCCCTGTTCCGCCACGCATGCTATGCAGGTAGTGGAGGTAGATAATAGGCTTGACCGACCCCTGACGTCTGCACGGAATGGGAAGCGGAAGGGGAAATAAGCACCTAAACCTTATCAAAACGAGCTCCTGGCATGCAAATGTCATTTAACTGACCTTTCGTGTTAATCACTTTAGCAGAGCAAAGGTTTCCACATTAAAAACGAAACGATAAAAGCTCTATCGCAAAAGCAAACTAAAACGATCGCCACAAAATTCGGGAATTGTTCAGCTCTGATACTCTTCCATTTAGCGGTATCCATAGCAACTTCAAATTTTAGTTGTGCGGCAGATATGCTTTTTAAGCCACACGGTTCTCAGCCAAGTCATTTGGAAATAGTCCATGATGCGCAACAAGTGAATACATTCCCCATGAACACTGTTTGTATCACTCGGGGTCATGGTGACGAAAAAAGCCCGCTGTAATTATACGTCTGGCGCCGCCGGCCACTGGGGGACCTAGTCGTATCATACTTATCTCCGGAGACCCAGAGGGGATCAGCTTCGTCCCCTCTGATCCTTCGTCAGACGCCCTCTTTCCCCTGGGAGGGGGCACGTCAGGGCTGGCTCAAAGAACGCATCTCAGAGTCAGACTATTTCCCAGAAGACCTGGCCATGACGGTAAGCCCCTCGCTCGCTAGACCCTCGCTAGACCCTAGGACAGTGGGGGATATTATGTCATGCCACTATAGACCCTAAGACACCAACCATGGCTCATCTACACCGTGCCTCTATGGACCCCAATCCCCAGCCATGCTGAACAGCCCACTCATGCCTCGGCAGAGCCCAGCCCGGTCTTCTGTCGGTCCCAGGGGACGCGGTAGGCCGCTACCGACCGCCGCCTGATGAGGTCAGTCATTACGGCCAATCAGCAGGGAGACGACTGACCCGGGCTCGGCTCCGCCGGACACCACCCCGATCGTTACACGCCGTGACTCCTGATAATTATACAGAGACCGAGCGCAGCGGCGGGCTCGTGTCTGAGGCAGGGCCAAGTATAGAATCAAACGGAAGCGTCTTTGAGGCTGAACTTTGGGACACTAGGTGGCACGGACAGAGTTAATCGTGTCTCATTTATATCGGTTCTGAGAGATGTCGAGACCCATCAGTATAAATTCATTTGTGAAATGACGTCGTTCATAATGTCCCTCTCAAAGTGAAATAAAATCAACCAAGGATGTTAGCGCGAAAAGCGAGTAAAATTGATTAGAACTGTTGTAACGAACCTCTAAGAGCATATCTGACGTTATCACAATGCATATAAATGGAGCAAATAATCCGATATGATATCCATAATGACTGAAAAACTAAAATAAATGCAATAAAATAAAATGCATCGGTCGGTTCCTTCCGATTCCAGCAAATTCCAGCAGCCGGCGATTTTTCTGTTGGTAAAGCCGGCCTCTGGTCAGAAGCGCTCACCCTGGCTGTTGATGACGAACGGCTGGTCGCTGCTGAGGATCTCGTAGCGGCAGATGTCGCCGTACTTTGGAGAGCAGTCGTCATCCTCCGCGGCGACCTGGACGATCTCGTCGTACAGCCGACCCTCGTCCACGTCCAGGATGTACGAGCGCTCGGTGAAACGCGGCGCGAACTCGTTCACATCCTCCACCTCGATGTGCACGGTGACACTGCCGGATAGAGGGGGCGGGGTTAGAGAGGTGACGGGTGAAGGTTAAAGGTAGTGTGCCACCTTTGAAAGATTTCCCATTTTATTTTTCCTAGGATAAGAGGCTTCTGTTTTTACCTAATATCGCAAAAAAAATCAAAAATGGGCCTGGAATAGTGCCTTTTTCGCCTAAAAGTTTTTCGGTTTTTAGATATGTATAACAACTGTAGTGGGCTCACCTGCAAACAGGCGTCGGGCAACAATCGCGAATGCGGCGCACTTGTGACAATAAGCAAAGGTCATCGTAACACTATATAGTGTTACGACCATACGACGTACGGGAATGAGTTATCAGCTGTCTAATCGTAGACAACACAATGTCGAGCCTTAAACTGTAAGCCCGTATTGGTATTGTTTCTTTTATTTGGCTGTCGAACATTATTTATGGTTTGAAATATGATTTTATGTAAAATAATTGATATGAAAAAGCCGTCTTATAAGTTTTGACCCCATTTCACCACACGCAAGTGGCAGAAATGACAATGATCAGCTGACGCATTTTTCTTGGCCGAAGTCAGAGCGCGCGGCCCGACGCACCACGCGTATTTGGAAATTCCGACCTCGACGAGCATCAGAAGCCACCTAACAGGCGTGTTTGAAACCGCAGGAGATGATGATGAACGGGTTTATCGAAACTTGATTGGATGAGCATATCGGTAATAGCGATTTCAGTGTGTGCATTTATTGTTCATAGTCATGTGAAATGTGGTTGGGGTACGACCGACAACCCGTCGGGGCGAATTTCGCACTGGGGTACTCAAAATTTGAAGAATTTAAGACGTTTCCATGAGTTTTGAAGGTATGGATAAGTTCTAAAAATCCGGTTCTCCTTATCTGGGCCATTAACTCCATACGGTCCAAGAAAGCTGGCACACTACCTTTAAGGGTTGGGGTTATTAGGTGATACATATTGTGCACAGATTGATCAGGTTTGATGGGCGACACTGCAGTGAAGTGAGTGGTGCTGAAAAGGCCCAGGGGCGGCTGTAATTCAAACCATTACAGAAGTCGGTTAAATTAATTACTAATCTAACGTGTAGCACAAAGTCCGGCAGTAAGGAAGCAGCGACAGTGTTTTGGCCAATATATTACGCCCCGTAGCCATTGCATCCTCTTCAGGCGTAAATTAAATTACGCCGCCCTCTGAAGCAAGTGCGCAAGAATAACAACTTATTTTATTTGAACAGCGATATTGCCTCGCTGCGCATTTAAACAAGGGTTAAGCGGCCTAAACGAGACAAGTTCGCTGGCTGTTGGTACTGGCAAACTTCCCTAGTATCTTGTGTTGGAGTTGAGCAAGTTGGAAATTGACGAGCACCACCCTGTCAGAGATCGGAAATAATTTGAGCAGGCCGGTCTAACAAGCAAACAAGCGCCACTGTCCCGTCCGGGGGCTCCGAAATGGTGTCGCAGCTTCAGAGGCGGCAGTCCAACGAGGATGCTGTCGTCTGGAAGACACGATTTGAGCAGTAGCCTCTCCGGAAAAGTCCAATATATTGGACAACTGCGCAGTGATATGGCACCGCACCGTAAATGGCGGTCTGAAATGGCTGGGAGAGTATGGCTCGTTTCTTACAAAATGGTGCGCAAAAACGGGATACGTAAAAGCAGGCGTGAGGTAGGCGGCGTCGGCGATAATCTCAGTGCTTTTGAGCTGGCATGTTGATAGCCTGTATGACCCCCATGCAGAATTGGATAATTATGCCGAGTTGGGGTTGCACGGGCGCAGCAAATCCGCCGCCGCCCTAGCGGTGACTTTGACCTCCGCCGTCTGGTGCGGCTCCAAAGCCAAGCCAGCGCGGCATTGGGAAGGCTCGTGCTACCCCAACTCGGCACAACTGTCCACCCCTGCCCCCATGTAGCTAGCAATGGACACCATCCCAAATCCTTTACCGTAGTGATTTGGATGACAGCTGTTGCTACCTCTAGTGGCCATACACCGAACTAGCCCTACCACCTAGCGGAACCGATAGAAACTACACACCAGCGACCAGCCACAGCTGACACCTGGTGGAAATCTTACGAACTACACAGGTCCCACAGGACTATGACAGGACTGCTGTAATTTTGGTCGTGGACTGGGTGGAAGAACAGGGGTGATGAGGGACACGAGTAACTGATCGCGTGACACGCTGCGGTGATGAGACAGGTCACGGCAATCAAGGCATAGGTCGGCCGTGCCAGGACGACCCCCATCCCCTCCCCCCCCCCCCCACTGGGGTCACGGAGACCCGTCACCACCCAACACCGACACGATGATATCACGACGCCAAGCCCGTGCATCTCGTATTGAGGGGTTATACCGACACCAGACCTGACTCAGGTATGTTCGGGACTCTCAGGTTATCTACAGAGCCAGTCGGAACACAGCCATAGACTAGGCGCCGGCTTCCGTACCGTCCAGTGACCAGTTCCACTCGCAGGGCCAGGATTTAGCGGACGCCGAACCCAATGAGCGAATTTAAATGCATGGCCCACGCCGACGGTTTTAGAGGACGATTGGAGGGAAAAGTGTCGCCCATGAAGGGGGCCATGGCTTACAGAGGTATAACTGTGACTTGATATATCTAATGCGATGGCGAGATGCATCAGTACGCCGACTTTACGTACGCTTCTAATGAAGATGAAATTCGTTTTTTTTTTTTACACAAATTTATGACAGCAGTATGCTATAGTGAATACGGTAGTATCTTTAGCCCGGATACCTATTTTACAACTACTGAATGGTAAGAAGAAAAGAGCCCCTAGTGCTCCTAAATTTAGTTGAGAGTTCAGCACATAATTGAGTGTTCCGCAGTATTTCCATACACGACTTTCATTATTTTACAAGATGGGGCAACTTTTAATCCATAACGATCAAACAACATCGACTACTATTTCAAAGAACAACTTCCTGTTCCACGTATGGTTAACGATCACCTCGATTTTTCTCTGAGCTAATCAATGTGTTTGATGTTCTTCTTTGATCCTTACCGAAACGATAGCCGCTACTGATTGGGCTAGAGCGGCGCAGCACGGCGTCAAACTTCCAAAAACTGCTCTCTCCCGCCCCTCCCCTCCTTCCAACCGAGACACACCCGCTGACAGGCGCCGCCGCCGGTCCGGGGGTTTGAGCGGCACGGACCGCACCTCTGCCGGTTCGTCCCCTCAGAGGACCGCTAAGCCTGATGGATGGCGGAGGAGCGGCCGATCGGACCGGGGATTTGTTTGGAGGCTCCCCGCCGCCCATCCGGTGGTGGGTGGCGCAGCAGCGGACCGGGCCGGTGGTAATTCACCAGCATAAACTGCTGAGACAGTCAATAATGCAGCGGCGGTGGAGGTCGACACCCAACTCAGCGGCAAGTCAGCAGCCAACACCTAACTCAGCGGCAGAACCCTGCGCTCAACAGTACCCGGCAGCTCTTTATAGCACCCGGCCGCTCCGCAATGTCTGTTCAGACTGGGCGCAGTTTAGGCTGTCTTCGCGCCCACCTTTGATGTTGCGCTGCAGCAGCAGCCGGTGCTGAGGAGCTGTCACTTGTGTTGAGCTCTTACAACTTGAACAGCCCACACTTTGGCTTTAACACAGCTTCTCCACTTTGAGCTTACGACAGAGCCATCGCCCTCCCACATGTTTAACAAGCACCGGTCTTTCTCAATATGTCGTCACCTGCCTCCATCTCAATGTCACCTCATCCATCTAACGCACCCACATTCAACCACCATCAGCTCAATCATCATTCCCTAGATCCCTGTCACCACTCCCTCCCTCCACAAACTTCTGATCTGTCCTCAAACCTCCTCTCCCACCCCGGCGGCCTTAACCGTCTGCAGCCACCCTGAGCCGCCGCCGTCCCGTCAGGAGCGCCACTCGCCGACCTGATGTCGCATCGCTCGCCGATTATGCAGATACCGTCTGCTCCCAGGAGCGTCTGCCACCGGCCCGGAACGGGGGATCGGCGCGGAACAGCGGGCAGGACTGAGGTCGGCCAAAGTCAGACGCGCTGCGCACATGGAAACATTAGGCAGATGAGAGAGGAGTTGAGGAAGAAATGTTTGATTGTGGAGCGGTTCTGGGGTGCGGACCTCTGAGAGGGAATGACGCAGTTGGTAAGAAATAAGATGAGACAAGGAAGTGGCACGTTCAGTAGGTCAAAGAACAGGGCAAAACAAAACAAGAGGACATGCGAAGCATGGTATCATTTATGTTTCTTAATGTTTCTTTAATGTTTGGTAAGAAAACAAACCATTCCATCGTGGATGAATAGTAGATCAGGCACCAGTTACAATTTTTAGTCACATCATAGATAACATGAATCTATGGATTACATGAATCGATGGATTCATGTTATATATGGTCACATTAATTTAAAACTCATTATTCACTCGACTGTTCCTACCCACCGTAACACCACAGACACACCGCCTAACACAGCCCAATACCATAAACATTGAGCATGGAGCACCATTAGGCCATGTTTGGATGCCATTTAAAAAGGTCCATTTTTTAAGAGGTCCAACTTCCAGCTCCGTCTAACGATGTCCAAGAATGACACAACCGTGTCAGCAGGTAACTAGATACAACACTTGGAAGTACTGTATACCCTGGCACGACATACGACATTTTTGAAATGTTTGGGAAGTTGCATTCTTATCGTCCCTCAGCGCCTGAGCTGGTATTATGTACAACCGAGTTGGAGCTTTCTACGCCAGCTCCCATCCACTAACATTATAAAAGTACCATTTCTACAAAAAGGAACAATGCGGAAAGGAAACTACCAGGCGGATGGCCAGATAGCGAACAAAGTCATGCTCGTGGTAACGTCACCAATATAACGACCGGTGACAACAAAAGCGACGACGGGACGGGGCTTTGTGAGCGTTCATTGTCGGTCTAAGATGCGTGTGTGGCGAGCGATCATCAATAACTGAACAGCCAGGAGTGAGAATCAATATCGGAACCGGCTATCACCAGGGCGGTAG